TTCAGAAAAATGACAACTTCTGATATTATGGGATAAATACAAACTAGTATGGAATGAAAGAGTTGCCCTCACTCTTTTCTTATGCTTGCTTCCTGTCTTGAGAAGGTTCATTTAGGATGGTAACAGAGGTAGTTAGTAATTCAAATTAACTACAGAAAGGTCTCCCCTCGAAAGTCTTAAGGCTGAGGTATTATCCAAAGCTTTCACCTATGCCACCAGTACTGGGGGTGTATGAAGGAGGAGAATGAGCAACAATGAAAATGGACAGTGCTCCAATGGGCTAACTGGACATGGACTAGAGGCTACTCAAAGGAAAAAGTAAGTATTTTGCACCAACCTCTGGCTTTTGTGTTTATTTTCAACACTCCTGATAAACTGATAATGAATTAATACCAGCATGGTAAATGTTTGACAATGGATCTCATCTGAAAACCACTACAGCAATGAGGTTACACAATAAATCCAAGTCTTTGGTGGGAAAGAAATGATGAGTGGTCCAAGACAGGGAAAAAAGAACTGAATCTCAATAATGTACACATTCTGAATTAATATGTAAAATGTGAACTTGGTAAATAAAAATGGATACAACTCCTTTTAATGTTAAATGGTGCTTTTTTCAGAATTCTAACTTTTACAACTGCGAAAAGGCTTCCTTTTGTATTGCAAAGAGGGGAGTATCACTACATGAGTTGTTAATTAAGGAGAAATTAACATTGCTTGTGAATAAGCTCTCTGGGAACCTTAGCTTTTCCACTCCAGATTTTTTGCACTGAGCATATGAACAGCTTAATGTTTTCTTACTACTATGTTTGGTTCCAGCCACGTTGAATTAGTTAGAAGTTAAGCTCAATGCCAAGTTCTTCTATGCTCCCCCTCCACACTGGGGATTCAATCCAGTGCCTCAGGGTGTTAGCCAAGCACTCAACTATATCCCCACCCCCTTTTTTGTTTGTTTTGAGACAGGGTCTAACTTGTTAGGGCTGGCTTCTAACTTGCATCCTTCTGCTTCACCTTCCCAGTAGCTGAATTAAAGGTGTATGGTTCTTTTCCCCAATTCTATCTGGAGTTTGCACAGTTTTCTTTGTCAAGCAAATTTCTCATCTTCCTACTCCTGACTAAATTCTTTCAATTTAAGATGAGAGACAATTCTTCTAGGAAACATTTCCTTAGATCATCCAGGCACTGCTCTAAGTTCTTCAAACACAATTTGTTAATTATCACAAAAACTGCAGAAATACGAATGCTTAACTCCATTTCATGGAAGGGAAACTGAGGCAGAGGTAGATGGTAATTCTAACAGTGTCATATTAAGCTAGACCTTGAACTCTGTAGTGAAGAAAGGAAAATGTAGACAGGAAGGAATGATTGCAAAGAAATGGCACGAACAAGGAAAGGGAGGACACGGAAGATGATAAGTTATGCTGCAGGGGATCTTCTGGTCAAGTCTGCAGCTAGTGGAGGGTTACAGTAAAGGCGAGAGGTGACTGCATCGGGTTTCTGGAGCTCGTGCAGCTTCGGGTGGCGATACGGCCCAAGGCTGTGCTGTGCAAATGGGAAGCTGGAAAGGAAGGAGGCGACCCTAATCCTCAGCATCCCGCACAGAACTCTCCCAAGAGCTGCTGAACGAACGCAGGTGAGCTCCGGATAGGCCTCGCCTGAGGTCCCTGCGAATGCTTTTGGCGTAGCTCCCCGCACAACCCTAGGACATTCTCGGCCAGGGACTCTGAGCTCCTCTGGCTCCCTGACCCTCAGGTGACCGCTGGAGGCCACGCTGTCCGTCCTGAGGTTCAGCCATGTCTAGATTCTTAGGTCACTGCGGAAGCGACTTCCCCAACAATCGCTGAGAAGGGCAAGCGAGCTGGGAGGCGGCAACGCTCAAGGCCAGCAGGGATGGCGTCCCACGTGGGGGAGCCTGAGGACAAGTTCTGCCCGGGTCCTTAGGTCGTCTCGGACGCAGCTCCACCGAGCAGCTTCGCTGCAGGGAGAACATTGGCCTTGCCTGCCGCTGCCCTGGGAAACCTCGCTTTCCCAGGCCGGCAGCCACACGACCCGAGGGCGAAGGCGCCAAAGCCGATCTGTGTGGCGCGACCGCAGAGGAAGCGAACCGTAGACCGGCGCGCGCTGCTGCTGCGCGCAAAGTGGCGGCAAAGACGGCGGGAATCTTCGCCCCGCCCCACGCCCGCCTCCCCGCTGGGCGTGGGTGGCACACCTCGGCCACGCCCACCGCGCACGGCCTCTGAGCAACCGGCACAACACAACAAAATGGCCGCCGTGCCGCCGGCGCCTGAGGGAAGGACCCGTGCGTCTCCGCGTCGCTGCGTCCGCGGGGCCGCTCTGCGGGTCTTTGGCGGTGAGTGCCCGCCTGAGCGAGCTGTCCTCGGGCCTCCGGGCCGAGCAGTGGAGGACCCGGGGCAAAGGCGGGAGGCCTGGACCTGGCAGGGTGGGCCGGCTCCGGGTAGACTGGGGCGGGAGCGTGTGCTGGGAATGGGGATTGGACCGGAGGGGTGGGAGGGCCGGGTCGGCGGGGGCAGGTGGATACGGGAGCGAGGGGCTTCGGAGTGCGGGGACGTGTGGAAGGGGTGCGGCGTCGGGAAGGACGGGGTCCCGGCGCAGGAGGAGGCGGGAGGGCCGGGGTGCGTCCGTGTCTGCGAGTGACAGGGATAAAGATGCGCTGGGGGATGTCCAGGTGGTACCCGAGGAAGACAGCGCGGGCCGAAAGAGGGGTGTTGAGTGGGAAGTTATCACCCTCATTTGAAAAGTGATAGCACTGAGTACCAAAAGGTTAAGTCGTTGTCTCTAAAGTCACACAGTAAAGGAAAAATTCTGGTTTTGAACCAGGCTGTGTCCTTCCAGAGCCCAGACTCTTAATTGCTAATGATACACTGAGATGGGTAATTCTGCCTTTATACAGCGTCTGTGAGGATCAAAGTTTGCTAATGTTTTACAGTGCTTAGCACAGGCCTTTAATCCACAAGTATTTGTAGTTTAGTGTTTGTAGGTTGTACCCTGGAAGTAGAAGGGGAGTGATGAAGTTGTTTTGCGAACAATTATTGCAGTCCAGTTTTATAAAGGAGACGGCTTGGTGCACAGACCATGTGTAAATAGGGAGATGCCATCCTCTGTGCATCCCGCGGGTAGAAACCCTGCTCCTCAGCCCTGGGTTCTTTGAGGCTAGCACAGTTCTTGGCACATAAAAGTTGCTCCATAAAATTGAATAAATTTTATTCCTAATGGGAAGGAATGGGAAGCTTGGGTTTCAGGTATCTGAGCAGAATGAGTGATATGGGGGATTGAGGGGAACAGTGTTTATAGGATAGAGAGGATGTGGGTCCAGGCTGTAAAAATGGAAAGACAATGATGTAGGCACGGAGGCTGGGCTGAACAGGAATGGAGGAGGTTTGAGCAGGGGAACAATTGTAGATCAGAGTGTGGGAATGAATTAGGATGTCGGAGTGTTTGCTGGGATGAAAGCAGATGAGCAGTTTGGGAAGACAGGATGGATATAGAAGTGTTGAGATGGGATACTCAACGAATGATAGAGAAATGGGGAGACTACTGTGTTAGGGAACTAGGATAGAATTTGTGAGAAAACTTGGCAGTTAGGTGTGGGGAAAAGGATGAGAGGCTGAAGTGGGCAGTACAGAATAGGCTTTAGGAAGAAGGATGGGTGGGTTAGAGTCTTGGAAGAGGAGTGGGATTAGGAATAAAGGCAGGACTACAGGAGGCTAATGAGTAAGAGTACTTAAATAGGCCAGAGGGTATGCAATGAAGCAGGATCAGGGAAAGCACTGAGATAAGATTAAAGGGCTAAGGATGTAGTATGCCGGGATATGGGGGTGAGAAAGTGTTATGGGTATTTGCATATCAGGATATTGAAATCTGCCTCATTTGGAGATAAGAGAAGATGGAAAGCTAAGAATTGTGGGAAAGGCTGGGTAGAGGTGGAGTTGTGATGGAAGGAGTTGTTAGATCAAGCATCTCAGTTTGTGGGCGTCAGGATGAGTGATGTTTTAACCTGGTCATGTAATTTTGATTGTCATAGCACTGCAGTGGCTTTCTCTTGTTCTTCAGACTACTTCTGGGCCTTTAAAATGATTCTTTGGGTCTGAACTTTTGTTTTCTCTCTATTTTGCCAGCTGTCTTCTGGTTTCCATTGTGTGATCTTTGTTCATCCTAGGGTCGGATTTCATCCCCATTGCAAATGACATCCTAGGGTCAAGCTTCATCCCCATTGCCACTGCACACAACATTCTAGAAGCAAATTACATCTCCATTTCTCTGTTAAAATCGCTATTTAAGATTTACCACCTCCAGGCTGTTGTCTCCAAAATAATGCCAACCATTTCAAACACTGTAAATGTTAAAGCCCCATTTACTGAGGTGGCTGTTCTATGAGCTATCCCTTTGTTCATGTCCATGTTTTACAGGAGCTCTGGCAAATCAAAGAGATCTGGAACTGCACTGTGACTTTGGAACTGTCACTTACTCTTTCATGTTATGATTTATGAAAGGAGGGAAAGGAGTTGATCTAGGTTTTTGGAATCCATTCTAATATTTTAAAATCTATGAATTACCTAGTAGTCAGAAAAGCAATGGAAAACCCATGATAGTCAGGATACCTCATGATAAAAAGGAATTCTGAGTGGGCCAGTATTTTGAGAATTTGGAGAGAAGACTAAGATACAGAATGAAACAGTAATTTCATTGCATAAAATTATGGGATGTCTTTTTTAAAACCAAGACAGTTTTTTAAAATATATCTCTGTACCATTTTATATGTAGTATTAAACAGTTTTATAATCTTCAGTCATGCTGTGATGGAGAGGGAGATATAAAAGTTGGACTGGGTCCTATCCTCTCCCTTTCGCTTTCTAAGTTCCTTGTCTTAATGAAAACTGCATAGTGTTTGTCACTCATCAATCCATTTTACTCAGCAGTAAATAAAATCTTACTAAAGTGCATACCTGTTAGCTCTTCTCAAGCTTGAGAGTATCATTCTTATTTCAAAGAAGAATGCCAGTTTATCTTAATGCAGAAACCATAGTATTATCAAGAGACTTTTTTTTCCCCATGGAAGAATGATATATTAGACACAAAAGTTGTTCAGCATACTTTTGAAGTTAAAACAAAAACCTGTGACAATGCCGTAAGTAATGGAGTGTGTGTGTGTGTGTGTGTGTGTGTGGTGAGAGAGAGAGAGAGAGAGAGTTGGGGAGAAACCTTTTTTATCATGAATGTATATATTTTTTATTCTGTCAGCAAAGTAATCTTTATGGCTTTCTGTTGTCTAAAAGATTATAAATCTATTATTGTAATTCACGAATGATACAAGCTTCACTAATTATTTCTAATGGACATCAAATTTTAATGAGATCAATATCATTTTGAAGTCTATTGATTAGGCTATGGATTGAGCCATACTAGTTTAAAAATCTTGACTTTTTGGCAAGTAGCTGTCTTTTTGAAAAGTGTTTTAGTATCTTTTCTTTTCATTTTTATTAGCATATATTAATTGTACAGGGGGAATTAATCGTGTCAATTCCCAATAACCTTATATTGTACATTGGGACAAACCTTTCTTGATGCATATGGATAGCTGAATATGAGAAAATGAAAGAAAACGTAAGTTAGTACTTTAAAGTAGTGGCTAAGATACTGGGTGGAGGCAGTGACCATATTGCAATTGTGAAATAATAATGAACTTAAAAAAAAATGTGTTAAGATTTTGTTACCTTCAAACTTGCCAACTGTAAGAGGCCAGATCAGTGATCCTATCCTTTTATAAAATATTCTGGTTTTCCTGCATGAATTTTTTTTTTTTTTTAGTGTACTAACCCAAGTCATTTAGTGGCATTTATTTATGGTCTGTTTTGTGTACGGCATCATGCTAAGCCCTTTAGAACAAAGCAAACATAACACTTTGCTTAGTCTGGACTTTAGAAAACCCAGTCAACTATATACCATGGTAATGAAGAGCATGGGTTTCAGAATCAGATCAGGGTTCAATTCTTAGCTTAACCATTTTGTTATGTAACTTTGGACAAACTTCTTCACCTATAAAATGGGAAATACTAACACGTAAAGAGTTGTATTTAATTCTTTCAGAGTGTTGATATACATAAAGCCTTAGGTCTTTTTACAATGTTTGGCTCTCAGCAAAAATTAGCCCCTTGTACTCTATTCTTTAGAATAGCTTCAATGGTAGCAGATCATCATCTTTTCAGAGGCTTAGATTTTTGGAAGTACAAAAATTCATATGGAGAGACAGTTTCCTTAACTTAAGGCTGGTGATCAAATTAGGAAAATGAGAACAAAGTGTAGTGTGAGAGATGGGTCTGATATATTTTTTTGGTGAGACTTATAAATTAGTTGTAAAAGCAGAACTCAGAGAGGAATTCTATTTGATCTATTTGATCATTGAAGACTATCACATCTGCAAAATGCTGTTTAACTGACGGAGTGGATTAATGGATAGAAGCTTCCTTTGTAGATACTGGATATACCCAGCCATTTAAAATTGTTTGTTTTTTGTTTTTTGCCCAGCACTGGTGGTTCACACCTGTAATCCTAGCTACTTGAGAGGCAGAGATCAAGAGGATCATGGTTTGAGGCCAGCCTGGGCAAGTAGTTCACCAGATCCTATCTCAAAATACCCAACACAAAAAGGCTGGCAGTGTCTTAAGTGGTAGAGCACCTGCCTAGCAAGCATGAAGCCCTGGGTTCAAACCCAGTAATGCCCCCCAAAATCTATTTCATAGTTCCAGCCTATATAAAATACCCATGTGCCTGTGAGACATATGGTATATTAATAGAGATATGAAAAGCCCAAGATGGTGTTTTTCCTACTCTTATAGCACCATGTAATACAATAATCAACATCAGATAGAGGGGGGCTGTTTTCCCCACATGCCACAGACTTCTCTAGTGGACATTACTGAATGTTATCTTATTAAATTCAATTCTGACATTATTTACCTGGAGATAGTGTGAGATCTCTTAGATTAAGGATTCAGTGCCACAAACTGCCACACACACTTCAGATACCAGTTCCAAGTAGACTGGATGGCTGCAAATTGGTGCTCCAGTACCCCTCTTTGAGTACAGTTTATTTGCTAGAGCAGCTACAGATGTCAGGGTAACACTTTGCTTACATTTACCTATTCATTATAAAGGATATTGCAAAAGATTCAGAGAAACATCTTGATGGAAGAGATGCATTGTGCAAAGTATGTAGGATGGCTCACAGAGCTCCATGACCCTTTTGGCAGGCCATGCTCCAGGTTCCTCTGTGTTTAGCTGTTCAACAGCTCTTAGGACTGTGTCCTTTTGGATTTATATAGAGGCTTCATTTCATAGGTATGATTGATTACATCATTGGCCACTGGTGATCAGTTCAACTTTCAGCCTCCTCTTCTCCTTGGAGATGGGATTCAAAGTCCAACTCTCAATCATGACTTGGTCATTCTGGGGACCAGTCCCCATTTGAGGCTATCTAGGGGTCAGTCATTCTTATAGCAACCAAAAGACACTCCTGTCACTTCAGAGATTCCAGAGGTTTCAGAAACTATGTGATAGGAAACTGTACAAAGACCAAGTATGCATTAACACATGTGTATTCCTTTAACATATGTATGTATGTATGTATGTGTATGTGCTGTATGGTGTGTGTGTATTTTTTTTTTCTTTTTTGGTGGCAGTGGGGTTTGAACTCAGGGCCTTGAACTGGAGAGTCAGGTACTCCACCATTTGAGCCACACACTTGGCCTTTTTGCTTTCCTTATTTTGGAATAGGGTTTTGCTTTTGCCCAGGCCAGCCTGGACCATGATCCTCCTAATTACATTTCCCAAAGGAGCTGGAATAACAGGTGTGTACCACCATGCCCAGCTTTTATTGATTAAGATAGAGTTTGGAGAACTTTTTGACATCATGACTTTGAACTGTCATCCTCTTATCTTTGCCTCCCAAGTAGCTAGGATTACAGGTGTGAGCCTCTAAGCCTAGCCAACATACACATTTTTTAAATGAAAAAAATTCAACAAATTGAATTTTACATAGTTTAATTGTACAAAGAACAATTCATAAATTCAACAACCTTCAGAACCAGAAGAGGTTCAGGTAACTTCACTTCTCAATGCAAGCAGGTAGGATTTATCCATGGACATGGGAGTGAGGTACAGGAACAACTTGACTGGGTACAGCTTAGCATTTGCCTTATCTGAACATGGTTTCTTCATTTGGCAACCTGTGATTGAAGCTGGCTGCCAAAATTGCCTGAGACTCAGCTATTTGTTGCAAAAGTCACTGCTAAATTAGAGACTTTCAGTTCAGTTTGCATACTAAGTTAGATTGCAGTTTGTTATGTAGGGACTCAAAGTAGAAAGTCAGTCTTGGCCAAATTTAGTTTAATTATATGCACATTTGACATTACATATGTCAAGATGTTTATACATCATTCCATAACAATATCCCTTCCTAATACCAATTTACATGGTATTAATCCTTGAGCCAACCCAAATCTTTATAAACTTCAAAACTAATTTAACCTAATATCCAATTTTGCCAAAGGTTTTTTTCTGAAAAATGTTGTACTGTACTTTGTTTTTCACATTTTAAACTTGAAGAAGAGATTTTGAATTATAAAAAGCAAAATTTACAATAGGTCACCTAAAGAATGTCTCAGAGCGACAGGGTGATCTTGGCTGGTTCATAGTAAGTTTCTTCAGAGAGTATCAACTTTGAAGGTAGATTGACAGTTTTTTAAAGGGGCAGCAGCTTTCTCCCCTACAAATACAGAAGCTTGCATCTAAAAGTGCCTGCTGTGCTTAGTGGCTAATAGTAATGTTGGGCACCAGAGTTTGAAGCAATCTCATTTTCATATGGCATGAGACAAAGATGAAAGAATTGGAGAAACATAATATTTAAGATAATTCCTTTCTTTCATTTATAAAATATTTACTGAGTTCCTGCTAGTTGTCAGGACTGTGCTAGATTGTGGACATAGTGGTAAACAAAATAGAAACTCTCATAAAGGTACATACAGGTCAGTAGGGAAAGAAATGTTAAGCAAAGTACATTAATGTGCAATTGTAGACTGTGATTATTAAAAATACAGATTGGTTGAGACTATAGAAATAGGGACTTCACTTAACTCTGCCTACACAAAGACTTTCCTGAAGGAGAAGCAAGACAGCTTTAAGCTAATCTGGAAGGAAGACTGTGAATTAACATGGGTAAAATTGGGATCAAGATTTAGGCAGAAGAATATGTGCGGAGGCCAATATGACTGGAGCCCACAGTAGAGGGGAAATGAAGACAGAGTGAGCAGAAAGACAGGGCCAGATCACCAGAGACCTGTGGTCACAATAAATTTCATGCATTACAAACTGCCAGATTTACTTTTTAAATAGGTCATCTGTCTCTAAGACAACAATGTAGTAATTAGAAGAGGAAATACAGGAGCTTCTAGACAAATCAATTAGAAGCTAGTAGTAGTCTGATAAGGGCTTGGTTAGAGTGACAAGAGTAGAGATGGACAGAAATAGACTAATTTGAGAAATATTTAGGAGTTAAATTAATAGAATTTAGTGATTGATTGGGTGTGGGAAAGGGAAGAAAGATGTCAGGAAAGGACCACAGGCTTCTGGCTTGTCAGGGAGCATCATTCACTGTTTAAGGAACAATGTAGAGGAACAGGATAGGAGTAGAGTGAAGTTAGAATAGGTAAATGGCAAATTGTTGGACTGAGATTAGGATGTTGGTTAGGATTCATGTGATGTCAACTAGACAGTGGCAAAGAGGAGTCTGCAAGAGGCAGCTTGGATGAAATTATAAATACCAATTTTGATGTTACATTGGGAGCCTCCCAGGTGTCTAATTAAAGACTGTGCAAGACCAATTAAAGAAGATTGGGGGTAGCAGATTGGCCGATTGATAAGAGAGCCTGCTTAGCAAGCATGAGGCCCTGAGTTCAAACCCAGTACCACCAAAAAACCCAAAATAAAGAGATAAAAAGAAAACTGAGTAGCACTAACATTTAAGGGGAACATGAGCCAGCAAAAGAAGACTTGGAGTAGCCAGGAGGCAGGAGGAGAGTGTGGCGGATCTTATGGAAATAGAAGGAAGTCACTCTTAGAAAGGAGAGAGTGCTCAGTGGTATTGAAAACTACTGGTCACCACATAGTCTCAGCTTCTTGCATCATCCCGGACCCTCTGTGTGTATGGAAGGGGCGTTGTGACAAGTTTAGTCCAACAAACTGGCCAGAAATGACAGTAACACGTCTGGCGGGAGATGTGTCAGTGCTAGACTCTTTTTCTCTATGGCATGGTGATTAGTGAAATTTTAAATAGTGTCTGCTCCGTCATCTTATAGTACTGTCAGATCTTATATCTGCAGACTCTGAGTTTATAACTTTGTAGTCTTAAAAGCTCTAGAGATAATTTAATAGTTTCCATAACTATAGAAATTAACCTTGTTAAATATACTGAAATCTCTTACAGGTTTTGATGGCCACCTGGCTTTATTTTTATAATGAAGAAAGTTTCTCCCCCCAAAAAATTCTCCAAAGCAAGGATGCCACCATCACCTCACTCTCTTGGTCCATCACCTGTTATGTCAACATGAGATCCAGGTCACTTTCACCTTTGATTGGATCTGACACTCTGCCTTTTCATCCTGGAGAGTGGTATGAGCAAGTTGAGTTACAGGTGAAAACAGTGTGCTTTCGGACTGCCAAGACCACAAAGGTATTACTTTTAATCTGCAAATTTGTCTGACCTCACATATAAGTAGAGATGAAAATACTGAGCTATTTTTGGTCCAAGTGTAAGCTCTCATCCTATAACTAACTGAACTATTGTTTTTGTTGACTGAAGTTGTGTAAGGATAGTTGAGGACTTCTGGTTGAGGGTGAAGATGTCTGACAGGATTAGGAGGGGAGTTTCCAGAAAAAGGAAGCTTTATTTCTTGTGTAAGGACAGTGCCTCAAAGATCATACCTTAAATTGCCATCTTTCTTGGTTAAGAATGGGGCATATCTCTTTACTTCATAGTGGAGCACCTTCAGTACAGAAATTCTGTATAAAAATGGTAGCCACACTTGGGCTATGCCAGTCTGCTTATTTTCAAACTGCTTAACTGTGAGAGCGCTGATATCTTTTTACAGGACATGTGTTTTTGCATCAGCATTCTTAGGTTTTTTTTTTTTTTTCCTTTAAAGTATTCTGCTAGAGAAAAAAAAATGTTCTGCTGAACTAAAATAAATTTAATAGTAACTTAAAAGCCATCATAGGGAACCTTTGTACCACAGCATGAATGTGTACCCACAATTAATTTTTTTCTGACTCATAAAGTAAGAACCAAGAGACAGTTTCCTATTTATGAGTACTTTTATAAAATGTAATGTGGTTTTAATGATCTTTGACAGAGTTACCAGGAAGGCTATAAAATAAGATGTGCTCTTGTTTATCAAGTTAATCCTCTATCTCTATAAAGTATGCTTTGATACTCTCCATTTAAAAGAGCAACAGATTTAGAGTTTCTTACCATAAAAAATAAGAAAATACAATTTTAAAGAATTTCAGAGTTTCTGAACTTTAGATTGGTACTTAAAAAAACCAAGTAACTAAATAGTACTATTTATTTTTAAACACTAACTTAAAAATACTGCTTAGAAACAAACTTCAGAGCTGCCTGTGATTGAAAGTACAGTTTTTGGATTTGTCTGCTTTGGTGTAAATTCTGGATTTGCACCTAATTGCTTGCAAGATCTTGAGAAAAATTTTTAAATAAATGGGAATATTAATAATTTCTGTATCAAAGGTTTTTTTGTACAAATGAAATGTTTTAAATGTAAAATATTTAGCACAAAGCTTGGCACACACCAATTATTTACAAAGTATAACTTACTATTATTATGAAATGATATAAAGTAAAATATTATTAAGGCATTGTCATTAGAACTAGTCAGCCATTTTTTTACATTTGCATGAATTAAAATTTTTTGCTATATAGCATCAAAATGTTTTGTTTTTTAGAATATTCATGTCTCTCTGCTGATAATGATCTTTTTCTGTAATTTCAGGAGCTGACTCACATGTAGGAGTCCGTTATATTACAGAGGCACTCATTAAGAAACTCACTAAACAGGACAATTTGGCCTTGGTAAAATCTCTGAACCTTTCACTTTCTAGAGATGGTGGCAAGAAATTTAGGGTAGGTTAACAACAATTTCTGAATATAGGTATTGGTTGCTTTTTTTTTGCTTTATAACTGCCAATATTTTTTTAAATGTTATTCTCATGTTACCTCACTTGCAACAGACTTTTTATTTGCTTTCAGTGAAAGTTCTACATCAGAAGTATGACATCTCTAAATTTGTAAGCATCTATTATTTAGTATTGTATACGTTATTTACTCTCTCTGGAGAAGGCATAAGCAAACTACAGCTTACAAGCCAGCAAGCTGAAGTTCTCTGTTTTCTTCTAGACTATTTTTGTAGATAAAGTTTTATTGGAACATAACTCCATGAATTTATTTACATATGTCTATGCTGATTTTTCACTATAAAAAACGCTTAGCAGTTGTTACAGAGTGTACGACTGATAAACCAAAAGTATTTACTATCTGGCCTTCTACAGAAAATTTTCCTTCTAAAGAAATCTCTAAGAAATTTACTACTTTGTTCATAAACTGTAAAACACAAATACATTTTAATATGCTTATTTTGTTAATTAGAAAAATAGAAATTAGATCATATCACATGTTACTCATAAAAAATTCCAAAAAGGTAAAGAACTAAGTGAAACAATACACAGCAACAACAAAACTGCTTTAAAAGTATTAGGAAAGAATATTGGAAACTATTGTTAAAATCTTGTAGTAGGAGAGACTTCCTAAGCATAGTTAACCCTGACACCATAACAAAAGTTATTGCCAGATTACCTTACAAAAAGCTTTAAAGTTGTGTTTAATGTAAGACATCTTTGTAAACCTTAAACATAAAGCAAAAAGTCTGGCAGGTAATGTTTGTAACACCTGTAAGATAAAGGTGTTACAATTCAGCAAGAGGGACAGATCAGTAAAGATATGAACAAGCAGTTCAAAAGTGCTGAAAATGACCAATACTAACGCAAAAATATGCTTAATTCATTAATGTCAAAGAAATGTGAAACAATACTTTGATAACATTATCCATCTTGTACATGTAAGTAAGTAAGACTTGAAAAGTGATTATTTCAATTTTCAAAAATGTGAAAAATGGGCACTCATATGTTTTTGTGGACATGTAAATTGGTGCAGCATTTTAGGAAGGTGCTTTGGTGGTATTTATCAAAATTTCAAATGTGCTTCTTCTTTGATCTAGTAATTGAGTTTATTCTCGCAAGTTATATTTACAAACCCAGTAATTCTACTCTTTGATGTCTGTTCTACAGATATTATTTGTATATGTATACCAAAATGTCAATATAGTAGTGCTTATTAAGTGTTATTTAAATGGAAAAATTGGAAATAACTACTAAAGATCTATCAATTGGAGATTGGCTAAATAAGTTATGGTACAATATATCATGAAATACTGTGACTTTTTAAAAAAGTGATTTAGAACTCTCTGTTAACATGGAAAAATACCCACAGTAGTTTCAGTGGGAAAAAAATTCTAAAGCATTTTAGTTGGTATGGTGGTAATGTTTTTTTTAAATTCCGTTTTCTATATTAGTATATATGGATTGAAATGAATAAGAAGATTACATCAGCCTCTCAACAATAGTTAACTTTGAGCAGTGGCATTTGGGGGGGTGGCAAGAGAATATGGAAGAGACCTTTTTATGTTTTGTGTGAAATTTTGGTGGAATATATTCAGATCTCCTGTAATTAAAAAGGAAACATAACTGGAGTTTTAAAATTACAAAAATGAAACATCAAAGTAATAAGTAGTTACTGTGTGGTTATTACGTGCCAGGCATTATGTTAGACTAGGGAGATAGTAGATACAGAGGTAATTAAGATTAGTTTGTAATCTTTCTGAAATTAGGGTTTAGAGAAAGCCTAGGATTAGGAGGAGAAACAGTGAGAATCAGAGAGCTTGGATGGGAGAGGCCAAACTAATGTGAAAGCCTGAAGGAGCTGTCGGGACAGGAGAAAATCCAAAAGCATGATGAATGGAAACTAAAAGGAGAAGGAACATCAGAAAAGAATGATTTAAAATGTCACAAGATAGTCAAATAAGATGAAAATTTGGAAGTCAATGGATATGGCAATTAAAAAGTCATTGTGTTTCTCAAACCCACCAAGTTTATTTTTTAGGACCTCTGCATTTTTTTTTTTTTTAAATCAGCCTGGTATTCTCTGCCCTTAGATGTTCACACAACCGGCTCCTTATTTTAAGGGTCTCAACTCAATGTACTTCCTCTGTGAGGTTTTCTCTTACCATCCATTCACAGTTAGTCCCCCTCTCCTCATTCAGTCAACAAGTATTTATTTGGCACCCTGTATGTGCCAGGCCATAGTGCATGGCAGTATCCGTGATGGAAAAGTCTGTCCTTTTCGTACTTTGCAATTTGTCACATTGTCACAATATTCACTATCTGAAACTCTTATTTACTTGTTTGCTTATTGCCTGTTCTGCAAATGAGATCAAGAATCTTATCCTATTTGCTACTATACTTCCTGTACCTAGAACAACTCCTGGCACATAATTCATGTTTGATAAATATTTGTAGAATGGATAAATGAATGGTAATCTTGGAGAGACCCATTAGAATGCACTGATGTGGTAGAAGATATATTGCCTTACCAATACAGTGACAGTGAATAAAGGCAGAAAAGAGAAATGTGGACACCTCTTGTGGTAAATATGTGAGAGATGATAGCTTGATAGAAAAACAACCTCAATGAACAGATTTGCTCTACATAGAAGAATGTGAACATAGTGAATATTAGTTCTCTGCAGCCTGTAAAAATTAGTTCACTGCTATGGCCCCATTTGTTGGTGCCACACCTCATATGCTGTAAGTAAAATGAGTGTCTTTACACTTTAGACTAAGATCTAAAGAAGAAGAAGGAGGCTGAATGTGTAAGGGTGTTGGGAAAACGGGTGGGATTATTCAGTAGCATAATTTTCTGAGGAGAAAGCTGTCTCTTTAGAATAATGGAGGAGGAGAAAGAGGGAAAGGCATAGAAAAGTGGAGGTACAGGAACTGGTGATAGGAGAGTTCTTGTTGGTAATTTGAACTTCTTAGTATGTGGAAATGTTGTCCCTTCACTGAGAGGCAAGACGAGTTTGGCCACTTGAACAGTTGCTACTTGTGGTCAAGGAGAGCTGTTTCAGGGATTGTCCAGGACAGCAAGTAAGGGTTATTGTTTTCTGATGACTGATCAAACAAGCCCCTGGTGCATACACCAGATGTCCAGGCATCTATCATGTAAAGTATTTACTCATTTGCTTCCAATTAGTACATCGAGAATTTGGAAAAATGTATTAAACTTGAAGTACTGAATCTCAGCTATAATCTAATAGGAAGATTGAGAAAGATGGACAAGCTGTTAAAATTACGTTGAGCTCAACTTATCAATAAACAAAATCATGTGAGTATATACTTCTTTTTTCTATAACCATTTTTAAATTATTTATTTTTTCCTTTATTGTTTTGCTGTGGGGGCACATTGTGGCATTTGCAAAAGTTGTTATAGGATATCTGATATCTCATATTTGAATTCATTCCCCTCCACCACTCCTTATCCTCCCTCCCCCATTCCTGGAATAGTTTCAACAGATATTATTTTTGCATTTACATACACGTGTACCATTTTGCACTGTATTTATCCCCTTTCCCCCCCCCCTCCACCCTCGCTGGGACCAACCCTCCCTCCCCCGCCCCCAGTATCATTACTTCTTTAGAGAGCGTTCAGGGTCTTTTAAAAGAGAGGTGAGTGCTATCCATGTTACTGAAGAATCTTTTGAAATAGGCTTTTCGATTTTTTTTTTTTTATGATACTTGGAATTTGAACTCATTTCATGCTTGCTAATCAGGCACTCTACCACTTGAGCCATACCTCAGCCCTTTTTGTCTGATTATTTTGGAGGATGGGTCTTGCTTTTTGCCCAGACCAGGCTGGACTATGATCCTCATTTTATGCTTCCTGCTAGGAGACAAATGTGTCTCACAAACTTTTTTTGCCAGGGTTGGCCTAGAACGCTGATTCTCTCCATCTCAGGATCCTCCTGTCTTAGCCTCCTGTGTAGCTTGGAATTACAGGTGTGCATCATGCACTCAGCTATTGGTTGAGATATGGTTTCACTATTTTTTCCCCAGGCTGGCCTTAAACCATTTCCTCTGGATCTCAGTAAGACTACAGGCATGAGCCACCAGCATCCCGCTGGCATTTTGACTCTTATTTGATATTTTAGCCTTTCACATAAAGCTGTGTATATTTTGACATTAAATGCAAAATAATATCTAGCATTATCAATATGAGAGGATACATTTTGTGAGTGCCCAATTTTATCTTAATTTGAATTTTGAAAGTTTGACTTTGAAACTTAATTAGAAGTGAAACTTTTCCCAGATGTTATCTATGATTTATACCTTATTACATTAAAAATGTGACATGAAGAGAATGTTTTAGTTCTGCCATTCTGATCCTAAAGATATACAAATTATTTATACTGTTATTATCCTGATTCATTGCTCATTGCTATAAGAAAAACACTCTAAATTCTTGTTTCCAGTTCAAATACACATTACTGGGAGAAATAAGTGTATAAAACTTACAATAGCTAAGCCATTTTCACTTATAGGAACTTAAAATAGACAAAATGATTGCAAGAATCTAATCTTGAAAGTATGATAACACTTCACCCAAATTAGACTTGTTAAATATTATGGCCAGCAAATTAAAACAAAAACAACAGCTGCAGAAGTTCTAAAGGAAGACAAAAACGAAATGAAAAACAAAACACCCTTAAGAGCAAAGTCTTACTATAAAATTTGTATATAAAAGAATTAAAATTCTTTGATTAAATAATTTCAGCAAAATAAAAATAGAAAATCTTGGAATATTTACACATGGAATCCGCTGGTACCTCACACCTGTAATCCTAGCTATCAGGAGGCAGCGATCAGAAGGATCACAATTTGTGACTAGTTGAGAGACCCAGTCTCGAGAAGACCGAGCACAAAACGGGCTTGGCAGGAGTGCCTGCCTAGCATTCATAAGGTCCTGAGTTCAAAGCCCAGTGCCACGAAAAAAAAAAAAAGAAAGAAAGAAAAAATATATATATTATTCACTCAGTAAGAAATTGACCAAGCAGTTTAATCAACAACAAATTATAGGTAACTTGGGAAAAATGTCACCTATGAAAATTTAGTAAAATGGGTGATAAATGTTTTTTCATTAAGTATTTTGATTATAAATAGTGATATTCATGTACAGTATCATTTTAGGGCTCCCGATCCTGCGAGCACAATTATCTTTTTGTGATGACTGAGTGTGATAATTTGGGCGCAATTGTGCATTAGCATGTACAGGTGTGTGCTGGTGAGTTTTCCAGCTCTTGCCTGGCTGTCCAGTAGTCAGTGAGGTTGCCATGGACACATCTTCTTTTCTGTGTCACGGTTTTTGAAGTCTGCTAGTAAGATGGCTGGGATTACTGGGTGATTAGTCATAGAGGTTGGCAGTTAGCTGCTCTGTGAAATTGTATTTGCCATTTATTCGATTTATGAAAAGGTTTATGAATTATAATTATGAAAACACTCCATTAGAACCAGGCTTTTATTCTCAAATTTCTGTGGAAAGACTGCATTATATTTACCAAGTTTGATTTCCCTTTGGTTTCCAGCAAAATTGAAGGCATAGAAAATATGTGTAATCTGCAAAAGCTAAACCTTGCGGGAATGAAATTGAGCATATTTCCAGTGTGGTTAGGAAAGAAGTTGAAAATCTTTGCGAGTCCTCAATCTGAAAGGCAACAAGATAGGCATCGGTAAGGTATTCAAAGTAGCAAGAATTTTTTTTTTCAAGATTTTGGATTGTTGGAAAAAATTAAAATTCTTAAGTTTTACAAAATGAGATTTCTTTTAATGTCCTTGGTCCATTTACAAACATCAAATTGACTTATAACCTAGATTTCCTAGAGTATTTAAAAACATGCAGTAATCATTTTGCATAGGTTCCATAGAGAGTAAGAGTTGATCTCTTAGAACTTTCACATTTTACATTTCGTTTGAGCCTCATAATCTTGTTCACTGAGGCAGTGCAGGGATTACTTCTATAATAGTGAATTAGATAGGATACTTTTAGCTCCCATTTTAGAGTAGGCTCAGAGAGATTAAGTCCTTATCCAAATCACAGGTTGTTAGAACCAAGTTCCTAGAAGAGAGTTCTTTTCTAACACTACTTTTTTTCAGTAGGATTTTTCAAATTTATGAATAAATTCTGATAATAGTGATAGTATTTTGGAAGTTGGTGATTAGTTTTTAATAGTAGATCAACTTCATTTGCATGGACTCACATAATTGGATATGATTGATATTTATTTTCCCCCTGCAGTAAATTTATGATTTTCTTCTGGTGATTCATTTACAGTAGGTTTCAGTAAGCATTTTCTTAGTAAAATCATTAATTTAATTAAATTTGTATTTAAAGTTGGGAAATCATGGAATGTTTAAAGAGTATCAGTAATAGAATTACAAACAAAAGGTTGACTTCTCTGTGGGCCTATAGTTGCCTTCTGTGACCTTGGAGTCCCTTTAATGGTCTCTATAACTCCTGTTTCACTTGGATAAAAAATCCTTCCCTGCTCCTTAATGGGTAATTAATGGAATTCAGATAAAATGATAGATATGAAAAGCTTTTAAAGCTTGGAACACTATTTTAATGCTGTATTGCATAAACCTTCCAACTGTAGAGGCCAAATAAATAACATTTAATAATACTGTGCTATTAACAGTATCTATTTTTTCTTCTTTCATTTTCATAAAGATCTGAAAGAAAACTCTCTACCATTTCACTGTGCAGCTCACCTTGGAGCTCTTAAAACTATGGATGATGAGAAGAGGTAGCCATAATCTAAAATTTGCCACAAGTATCTTCTCAAAGTAGTTGACCTTTAGGTAGAACCAGTGTCAACTGAGTAAACAGAAAAGCATTCAATAAATACCTCTATTCTAATTTTATATATGTTCTCACCCCAGTTCTATTTACACTGGCATCATTAAGAATGATGCACATTCATGGAAGGGGAATTTGTATTAACTATTGGTACAGGTTTTTTGACCTTTTTAATTACCTCTTTCATAAACATAACATGTAAGGCTGGGTTCAATCCTCAGCACACAAAGAAAAAAATTCATGCATCTTTTAAACTATTATAACTCAGCTATCTGAAAATTTACCAAATATTTTTATAATCATATTTTTTTTTGATTTGTTGATCATATAATGAAAAGACAATGGTTTAGAGTGAAACGATTAATTGAAATCTTGTTTCACTCACTCAGAGGTTGTGATCTTTACTTAGGCATAAATGTAGCTCTTTTGAGCCTGTTTTTTACATCTGTTAAATTAAGATGATACTTCCATTATAAGTTGTTATAAGGAGTCACAAATGAAAGCTATGTAGAAAATGGCCAGTACTGCTGATACACTAAAATGCTCATATGCTCCCTTTTGGTTCCTCCCTCACATTACTACTTTTGGATATGGGTTCAGGAATAGGTTCTTGCCATGTTAAGAAAAATTTTCTTGATTTATTACTTCCTTAATACGTTTGTGAACTTTAAAGTAAATACCTATCTACTTTTTGTATCATTTCAGCTCCAGGATGTAAGCAAGTTGAAACCACTTCAAGATTGACTTCTCTGGTCCTAGTTGAAAATCCCATGTGACCTTCCTCATTACTTCCATGACCGTTTTCCACCTTCCGTTCCTGGAAGTTTGGAAGGTCAGCCAGTAAACCACTCAGGATAGACAGGATGCGTTTGAGAGATTCAGTTTAGTAAATGACTTGAGAAGAATGTAAACTTGAATGGGGAAGGAATTTATTTTCAGTAAGTTGTGTAAAAAATACCGTACTATGGACTTATAATGCTGTTAAATTTGTATGGAAATAGCACCATATATCAGTTAATTTGTTAAATGTTTATGCACAGTACTGGCACCAGGCACTGTAGTTGGCACTAAAGATCACTAGTGAGCATTGCAGCTCATGTTTTTGTAGAAAAGACAGACAAAACATTGTAAGCCCAGATTAAGTAATGGGAAGTTTCTTTGTGGTATAAAGGAAGCTCTTTGAGGAAATGACATTGAAGGGAAGGCAAAGGCAAAGAGGGTAGCCATGTAAAGAATGGCCTTCAGAGAGGAAATGGCTTGTTCTTTGAGGTATAAAGACCCTGTGTGAGTTCACAGGACTGAAAGGTCAGGATGACTGGAGAACAGCTCAAGAAAAAGTTTGGACAGATAGGGCAGGTTCCAAGATGGCACAGGACCTTGGGGTTTGGATTTTATTCTAGGTCAGTGGAAGCCATTGGCAAGTTTTAAGCAGGGAGGGATATATC